CAGCGGCCGTGGAAGCGCTGGCACGGCCCCGGAGCTGTGGACACAACGGACAGGGGTCAGTGCAATGGTCAGTGCAATGGTCAGTGTGGTCAGTGTAATGGTCAGTGCAATGGGCAGTGCAATGGTCAGTGTGGTCAGTGTAATGGTCAGTGCAATGGTCAGTGTGGTCAGTGTGGTCAGTGCAATGGTCAGTGTGGTCAGTGGGCAGCGCAATGGGCAGTGCAATGGTCAGTGTGGTCAGTGCAATGGTCAGTGCGGTGAGTGCCATGGTCAGTGTGGTCAGTGCCATGGTCAGTGTGGTCAGTGCCATGATCAGTGCAATGATCAGTGCAATGGTCAGTGTGGTCAGTGTGGTCAGTGCCATGGTCAGTGCAATGGTCAGTGTGGTCAGTGCCATGATCAGTGCAATGGTCAGTGTGGTCAGTGTGGTCACTGTAATGGTCAGTGTGGTCAGTGTGGTCAGTGCAATGGTCAGTGTGGTCAGTGCCATGGTCAGTGTGGTCAGTGCCATGGTCAGTGCAATGGTCAGTGTGGTCAGTGCAATGGTCAGTGCAGTGGTCAGTGTGGTCAGTGCCATGGTCAGTGTGGTCAGTGTGGTCAGTGCCATGGTCAGTGCAATGGTCAGTGTGGGCAGTGCAATGGTCAGTGGTCAGTGTGGGCAGTGCAATGGTCAGTGCCATGGTCAGTGCAATGGTCAGTGCAGTGGTCAGTGTGGTCAGTGCCATGGTCAGTGTGGTCAGTGCCATGGTCAGTGCAATGGTCAGTGCAGTGGTCAGTGTGGTCAGTGCCATGGTCAGTGTGGTCAGTGCAATGGGCAGTGCAGTGGTCAGTGCATTGGTCAGTGCAATGGGCAGTGCAGTGGTCAGTGCAATGGTCAGTGTGGTCAGTGGAGGTGGTCAGTGGTCAGGGGTGTGGTCAGTGGGTGGGGTCAGTGGGCAGGGGTGTGGTCCCTCCAGTCCCTCCCAGTACAGCCCAGTACAAACCAGGGTATAACCCAGTACAAACCAGTACAAACCAGTATAACCCAATACAAACCAGTACAAACCAGTATAACCCAGTATAACCCAGTACAAACCAGTCCCTCCAGTCCCTCCCAGTACAGCCCAGTACAAACCAGGGTATAACCCAGTACAAACCAGTACAAACCAGTATAACCCAATACAAACCAGTACAAACCAGTATAACCCAGTATAACCCAGTACAAACCAGTCCCTCCAGTCCCTCCCAGTACAGCCCAGTACAAACCAGGGTATAACCCAGTACAAACCAGTACAAACCAGTATAACCCAATACAAACCAGTACAAACCAGTATAACCCAGTCCCTCCCATTCCCCCCCAGTGCTCCCAGTCCATACCTGGCGAAGGGGGCGGGGCTTTGTCAGGCCCCGCCCCCGGGCTCTGGCTGTTGTCGGCGGGGCCGGAGGCGCCGGTCAGCGACACCTGGACACACTGACCATAGAGATCCACCACGGCGTACACCTCTGGGGACACGGGACACTGTCACCTGTGTCACTGTCACCTGTGTCACCTGTGTCACCTGTGTGTCACCTCAGTGTCACCTGGACGCACTGACCATAGAGATCCACCACGGCGTACACCTCTGGGGACACGGGACACTGTCACCTCAGTGTCACCTCAGTGTCACCTGTGTCACCTGTCACCTGTGTGTCACCACGCTCCTGTTCCCCAACATCCCCAAATGTCCCCAGTGTCCCCAATGCCCTGAATGTCCCCAGTGCCCACAATGTCCCCGGTGTCCCCGATGTCCCCGGTGTCCCCAAGGTACCTGGTGGCAGCCCCGAGCAGGCCACGCCCTGGCTGTCCCCAATCCCCTGGCTGTCCCCAATGTCCCCAGTGTCCCCAATGCCCTGGCTGTCCCCAGTGTCCCCGATGTCCCCAATGTCCCCAAGGTACCTGGTGGCAGCCCCGAGCAGGCCACGCCCTGGCTGTCCCCAGTGTCCCCAGTATCCCCAATGCCCTGGCTGTCCCCAATGCCCTGGCTGTTCCCAATGCCCTGGATGTCCCCAATGCCCTGGCTGTTCCCAATGCCCTGGCTGTCCCCAGTGTCCCCAGTGTCCCCATGTCCCCATACCTGCTGGCAGCCCCAAGCAGGCCATGCCCTGGCTGTCCCCAGTGCCCTGGCTGTCCCCAATGTCCCCAGTGTCCCCAGTGTCCCCAATGTCCCCATACCTGGTGGCAGCCCCGAGCAGGCCACGCCCTGGCTGTCCCCTCCCCCCGTGTCCCTGCTGTCCCCAATGCCCTGGCTGTCCCCCATGCCCAGGATGTCCCCAGTGTCCCCAATGCCCTGGCTGTCCCCAATGCCCTGGCTGTCCCCAGTGTCCCCAATGCCCTGGCTGTCCCCAGTGTCCCCATGTCCCCATACCTGGTGGCAGCCCCGAGCAGGCCACGCCCTGGTCGGTGCCGTCGATGAAGTAGCGCAGGTCCCCTCCCCCCGTGCGCATCATGCCGATCCGCGCGCCCGTGCCCAGCGCGTCCAGGTCACAGCCGTAGTTATTGCGCATGGTGTTCCCGTCCTGCATGATGGCAGTGCCACTGCGGGGACATTGGGGACATCGTGGGGACATGGGGACACAGCCCTGACACAGCCCTGACACAGCCATGGGGACACGGGGACACAGGGACAGACACAGGGACACAGGGACAGGTCACAGCCATAGTTATTGCGCATGGTGTTCCCGTCCTGCATGATGGCAGTGCCGCTGCGGGGACACAGGGACATTGGGGACATTGGGGACACAGCCCTGACACAGCCCTGACACAGCCATGGGGACACAGGGACAGACACAGGGACAGGTCACAGCCGTAGTTATTGCGCATGGTGTTCCCGTCCTGCATGATGGCAGTGCCGCTGCGGGGACAC